TGGCATTCAAAACTCCACTGGATTAAACTGAACTGCAGCTTCATTATATCTAGCACTATATTCTGACATAATTAGAAATCACAGACACTCACAAAATTAAAAATGCTTCATGTTGGTTAGCCTTATCAACCCTTGAAACATAGTGGTTAACTTGTATCAAATATTGGATTTGACTGTGAATAGAAAAACTCTTAAAACTCCAGCTTTTAACATAATTGAAATTGGACTTCAGGAAATTAATACAATGTACATTACTGCATAAGCCCTGCGAACTGAACTGATTCAGTCTGCACCTTGATTCATTTTATGCACTTCTTGGCCTAGAATGCTGTTAAAAGTCCAACTTACGAGTTTCTCTACTAAGATTTCTTTCATTCATTTATCTCCCCTCCCTTCTCTTCTCCTCCCACCTCATCTCCAAAACAATTTCTATCTCCCTTTCTGATCTTTCATAGCATGTTGTGTATACTATTCATTTGGTACATACTTGACCTTATATTGAGTGCTATATATATATATATATATATATATGTACATATATATGTACATAAGTCCTGGTGGCACAGTGCTTGAAGAGCTTGGCTGTGAACCAAAAGGTAGGTAGTTCAAACCCACCAGCCACTCCTTCCGTAAAGATTACAGCCTTGGAAGCCCTATGGGGCAGTTCTACTCTGTTGGAGCCCCGGTGGCACGGTGGTTAAGTGATAAGGCTGCTATCCAAAAGGTTGGCAATTCGAATCCACCAGCTGCTCCGTGGAAACCCTATGGGGCAGCTACTTTGTCCTATATAGTTGCTATAGGTCAGAATCAACTCGACTGCAATGGGTTTGGGTTTTTGGTTTATATATATAGATATAATTTTTTTTTCTCTCTCAGATTATAAATTCCTTCAGGTCAGGAACAAAACTGAATTCATTTTTTAATTTCCCACAGTTCTTAGCACAGCAGATACTGGGTAAATATTTGAGTGAATGAATGAGTTTTAAAAGAGAATAAACTAGTCTCTGTGCAGGTTATTTCAAAGTAAAAATTTGTTAAAACCCTGAAAGCATTAATATTGAACTTCTTTTACGATTCCAGTGGCATCAGATCCATTGGCATTAGTAGGAATTCAAGAATTTATCTCTCAAGTAGACTATAGTGAGAACTAAAGTCACTGGTTTTCTAGTTTGATTTTGAAAATATTCTGTTAAATTGAAAACAGTATTCTTAAAAGGGAATCTGTCTAGTTGTAATAGGACCTTTTATTGATTCTAAATATTTTTTTCTTGTAAATAGAACTGTCAAATGTTAAAAAGTAGAAGTTTATTCACTATACCATTAGTAATTTTTCTGGGTTAGAACTTTATTAACTTTATTAATGGCTAACTTACAGAAATATGAAACACGAGTGGGAGATAAGGGAACTCAGCTCTCAGGAGGTCAAAAACAAAGGATTGCTATTGCCCGAGCCCTCATCAGAAACCCTCAAATTCTACTGTTGGATGAAGCTACATCAGCTCTGGATACTGAAAGTGAAAAGGTGGTATGGCCTCCTGCTTCATGTCTCATTCAATTTGTAAAATAATTTTGTATTGTCAGCCAGTGGGCAGGGAATATGTATATATATGTATACATATATATACAAATATACACACACATATACAAATATACACATACATATACAAATATACATGTATATATATATAATATGTAGAGGGGAAAAAAGTAAACACAAATCTTAACAGTAGTTATTATTTTGAGTTAGTAGGATATTTTATTCCTTACAGTATTTTTCAAATTTTCTAAAATAGTCATATATGACTTTTACAGAGAAAAAAAATAAGCCATTCAAAATTAAAAGGTGAATTAAATCACATTTTTAGTACATTATATATGAAAATCTAGAAATTTAAATATTCAGTAAAAGGGGACTAGTTAAGCAAAATATATGGTGGTTAGAAAATTTAACCACTTGTTAAGATTATTTACAGCATGCGAATTCATTTATAATTAAAAATCAGAACGTAACTATATATAGACCATGATGTCAATTATGTAAAATATACACGCATAACGCCAAAGATTCAAAGAGATTAGAAAACAGCTGATTTGCTAGGATGGTAAAACTTGTACAATTCTTTTAATGTTACAACTTATTTATATAATTCTTAAGATAACGCTTCTGTTTTACCAATAGATTGTCCAAGAAGCCCTGGACAAAGCCAGAGAAGGCCGCACCTGCATTGTGATCGCTCACCGCCTCTCCACCATCCAGAATGCAGACTTAATAGTGGTGTTTGAGAATGGCAAAATCAAGGAGCATGGCACGCACCAACAGCTGCTGGCGCAGAAAGGCATTTATTTTTCAATGGTCAATGTTCAGGCTGGGATACAGAACTTATAAACTCTTGTTACAGGATATTTTAAAAATAAATTTAAATCATTCTACAACCTTCTTTATCTGACTTGTAAAAGAAGTTTCTAGTTTAAGTCATCATGAAATATATCTTATTCCAGATCAATTTGGAACATCTAATTTGATATTTCAGCATCTGAAATTTGGGAATTAGAAGTGACACCTTTCTTGATGAAGTATGAAAATGGCAGCCTAGCTTTCCCTGAGTTATCAGCAACATAGAGAAAGAAGAAAAAAGTTCAAGCATATACATCAGTAGAATTAATAGAGGCCACAGACATAGGGAAGATTCTACGGTTCTTAAGCAATGGTTAGCTGACAGGATGGCTTGGGAACAATTTTGCCAAATATAAAGGAAAAATAAATTGTTTAATAGCCTCGTCTTTCCCTCGATAAGTTTCCAAATTATTATACTGGGGAACTGAAGTCTTTAAAATGAATGTATTCCCTGGTTTATCATGGAAGTTCACGAGAAAATGAAATACCCCTTAGACTAGATAACTTTGCAGGCACACCATTTATTCTATAAAGCCAGAAGTGTTTCTTGAAAAAAAAGTTGAAAACTCATTAATTTAAAATACACATATTCTCTCAATGCAATTTGAAACAACTGGAAATATCCACAATAAAATGCTGAGTCTCTATAGCAACTGCATTACTTCTTCTATAAATACCCTAATTTTTCTAGAAAATTGATCCACTTTCCTAAAACAAGAATATGTTTGGACAGTGTCTTAGTCATCTAGTGCTGCTGTAACTTGCTGTAACAAGTGGATGGCCTCAACAAAGAGAAATCTATTCTCTCACAGTTCAGGAGGCCAGAAGTCCGAATTCAGGGTGCCAGCTCCAGGGGAAGGCTTTCTTTTTCTGTCGGCTCTTGGGGAAGGTGCCTGTCATCAATCTTCCCCGAGTCTAGGAGTGTCTCCACAGAGGAACTCCAGATCCAAAGGACGCACTCTGCTCCAGGTGCTGCCTTCTTGTTGCTATGAGGTCCCCATGACTCTCTGCTGTCTCTCTTCTACATCTCAAGAGACTGGCCCAAGACACAGCTTAATCTTGTAGCTTGAGTCCTGCCTCATTAACATAACTGCCTCTAATCCTGCCTCATTAACATCACAGAGGTAGGATTTACAACATATAGGATAATCACATCAGATGACAAAGTGGTGGACAATCACACAATACTGGGAATCATGGCCTAGCCAAGTTGACACATATTTTTGGGAGGACACAATTCAATCCATGACAGACGAAACAAAATGAAATACTCTAGGCAATCCCTGAAAGCTAACCACAGTGAAATGTTCTTTCAGTATCATTTTTTTTCCCATAAATTTCTGTAAATATCAATTATTATTAACAGGTTGTTTAGCTCAGTAAATTGTCCAAACCAAGTTCTTTTAATTCTTCTATCTGTAATGAATCAGTTAACACCAAACAGTTTTTCTAATGTGACTGTGTAGAACTGGACTGAATTTCAGATCAACCGAGAGAACGTGCGGCAAGGAGTATATTAATGCAGTGACTCAAAGCGAGCAGAATTCAACCTACTCGTGTAATTCCCAAATTTACCCAATAAGGATCACGGGGCATTTGCCCCTGGAAATTCTGCTTCAGTAGGTCTAGGCTGATGTCCAGGAATCTGTGTGTTTAAAAAACACTGCAGGTTATTTTTAACTTCAAGCAAGTTAGGGAAACCTGTTCAAGCATGAGTGAGAAGAGGTAACTGCAGGAGGTGATGCAGTTTCCGAAATTACCCAGCTCTTTAGACATTATTTAAAACCAACTAACCAAATGATCTGAAGTGCTCTGGCAATCTGGTCTACAAAATTGCACTAGTGAGGAAATCAGTCCTCAGATCAGATTTCATCTTCCTATTTTATGGTAACTGTGAAGGACACCAAATGGCATAGACATCAACTGAGTGTTTTCATAAAGAAACTGTACTATTATTTCTTAGGATAGTGCCTGATGCACCATAAGGGCTCAATAAGTGTTGGTTATTATGATGATTAACATTAACAATAAACCAGATTTAGCAAATTCAAAGCATTTGAAAATGTTAGGGGGTGGGGGGGGGGAAAGGATGTATATAACCAGTATACTAAATATAATCTTTATATTAAAATGTGTGGTAGATTGTTACAAAAACAGCCCCCAATAAATCATGCCCTCTTGTGCCCACTCCCTTCTGCAAAGTGACTTTGCTGTTGCTACTATTAGGAGATGAGACTTTCCCCCCACCCTTTGAATCTGGGCTGGCCTTGTGACTTATTTTGGCACTAGAATGCAGCAGAGGTGACATTGTTTGACTTAGAGCCTAGATCTCAAGGGGCCTTGTAACTCCTACCTTCACCTCTTGGAACACTCTCACCACCAAGTAAGGAAGCCCGTTTAGAATATTGAATGATCAGAGACCACGTGGAGAGAGAGGACCAGTCGGCAAGTCCACAGACATGTGGGTGAAGCCATCTTAGACCTTCTAGCCTCGGTCCAGTAGGTGATGACTGGAGCCACATAAATCCTCAGGCAAAAGCTGAAGAACTATCCAGCTAGGCATAATCAACTGACGCAATCATGTGAAATACACTGTTCTTGTTTTAAGACACTAAGTTTCTGATGGTTTATTACACAGCAATAAATAACTGCAATGAAAAGGTGTAAGATTAGACAGGAATGAATCACTTATTCAGACACAAAACAAGAACCTATATGATTCTGGTAGTTTTATTTTCTGAGAGTATAAACTACAAAATTGAACTGAGAATAGGGAAAAAAAACTGGGAAGTCCTGAGACTATCACAACATTTAAACCTTTACAAGTCACGAGCTAAAACAATTAGAAATATGTGCTTTATCTTTATATTCACAAGACTAATCATAACATTGGTGTACTATTATGAATTTTGTTAGAGTTGCTTTGTATGTGTTGGGGGTATAAACCTTCCTACTACAACCGATTTTTTTGGTCTGTTCAACAGAAACTATTTTTAAGATCACCATTAAATTGTAGTACTCTTTCCCATTAAACATACAGGGCTTTGAACCCATTCTGGTCTGAAGCCCTGCTGAGAACCTGCATTTCTAACAAGTTCCCAGGCAATGCTAATGCTGCTGGTTAGGAACCAATTGTTGAGAACCACTATTAGAGCAGTGGTTCTCAAAATTTATTAATACTTAGGAATTACCTGGGGATCTTGTTAAAATGTAGATTCTGATTCAGCATATCTGGGATGGAAATGTAAATTCTCAGCAGGCACTGGAACCAGAATGAACCAGTTCGAAGCCCTGCAAACATAGTATGCTTGTATCCCTGTAATGAATGTGGAAGGCATTGATTTCAGGGAAACTAGCATCCAGTCATGTATTCCATACCCTTTGGCAACTAGAAAGCATTAAAGTGCTTAAAAGGTATACTCTACAATGCTGTTCAGAGAAAGGATTTATAATCTGTACAGGTACACACAAAAATATCTTAAAATTAAAATAAGACTTGCATTGTTAAATATTGTAGTTTTGCATTGTTGAGGCATATCTTAAACATTGCATAGTACTATATTCACTGTATCATAATTTGTACTGCTGTTGCATCAGAGAAGGCTTAAAAATAGTCTCTACCTTCTATGGCAGAATGTATTTAGACAGCATGATTCTTCTAATTTCTACATTTATCAAATTTCTTTTAAGTCACCACTCCTTCCCTTCTCATATCACCAATCTATTTCCAGCACCCAGTTTAATGACATATTTTGGTAAGTGCTTAATAAATGATTGGTCTCTAAAGCTGAGCTGTGTTCATCAGCTGCATCATATCATGGAAGGCATGAAAAACCAGCTGAACTAGCTTTTCTGCATCAGTCTCTGCACAAGATTTCCAGGCTGTACAGGACACAACGAACCTGTGAAGCACAAATAAGAAATGATTACATACTATGCAAAAATCAAACATGAAAAGGCTCCATATGGTAACAGTGACCTTTACTCTATCTGGTGTTCATATGTGAAATGTCAATTCTTGCTGACACTACGTAAATGTAATCTGACTACAGTCAAAGATAAAGCCAGGTTTATAGATAATACTAGGGAACACCTAATTCACTATGTGACTAGAACCTGAGGACAAAAGGGAACAAAAAACTAGCCAGAGCCCAAGAGGGCTCTGAAGTAAGGTCTTACTGTGCTTAAAAAAAAAAAAAAAAAAAAAAGACCTCCTAAAGTACCCTAAATGGAATAAGATGGAACATGAATTCATGTCACTGTTTTCAATGAAACAAAAAGAGGAAGCATATAAAGCCTGAAGAGACTGAAAAATAATTAAAACAGAGAAGGAAGGATAAGAGGAGGGAAAAGCTGTTTCTAGAAAAGTAAAAGAGAGGAACTCTTGGGACCAAGTCACACTTTCCACTGTCTCCTCCTACATCTCCTTGATGAAGAAATCCCACATTTGGCAGGTGATAAAAGTGGCCCCTGAAAGCTGGAGGAAATAGGAGAGAATCCTGATTTTTCGTGGGCTCAGAGCAGAAATTAGGCTACCAACTCCCTTGGAACTAGCCTTCCCCTTTCTAGATGCTCAGAATTTTCTATAACAAGGTATGCATTAAGCTCAAATTAAAATCACAATATTGTGCACTGTAAAGCTTGTGGACAACCATGCAATTTTCACATCACTTAAAAGGACAGTAAACTGTCTTCAACACGTGCTTTGGAACAAGCAGAGTAAAGTAAAATAAAAAAGTTCTGGCCCACTATATAATGATGAAACCAATGTCTGAATGGATTATATTTGCTGAAAGATATTCAGGAACCTACTGAGAGCCCTGCCTTGTTTTCATCTAGTAATTCGTGATCGCTAGAGTCATTTTCCAGCCACACTGTGCATGTTAATTCCCAAATATTTAGTAACATCTGAATATGTTTCTTTATATAGATAAACGATTTCTATTTAAGTGTTAGATTTTAAAAAATTCAGTTATCTTTCTAAATTATAAAAAGAAATAACACCCTTTCTTACACACATAGACAATTCACAAAAAGAAATACAGATGTCAACAAATGAAGAAAAAATACTTAACTTCATACATATGTAAACAAAAGACTCAAATTATGCTACGATTTTTGCCATCAAATTGGTAAAGAATTTTTTATGATTAAATAGAGTTGGCAACTGAGTGATGAAATGAGGAAAAATATAACATTATATATCATTTGTTAATGATGGAAAAACTGGAAATAATAGGGAACCAGTTAGATAAATTATGGAAATCTGTAAGACTAGACATTATTCAACTATTAAAATACAGCAATGCGTATTTAATGGCATTAGTAACTGCCTGAAATAATAATATCAAGTGAAAATGGAATTCATAAGGACACAGATCCAAATTTATAAAAATTATACAATCTGCACTTATTATAGATTAGAAACATACAGTAAGTCTTGAGCCTTGTACTGAAAATATGTTTTTCTAAGTCAGAGAGTTGAGGTATATTTAGCCTGAATGCTTATCACTGCATGCAGCACAGGATCTAATACTTGTCAGGGAATATGTTAGAATGCTTACTCTCTAGATGATGATTTTATACCTCCAACCCTTTTTTATGAAAAAGTTTAATTTGTACATCAATATACACAAACTGAATGCTATGAAAATACATAATCCAAAATTTAGATGCCAACAATAACAAGTACCACTGGTATAACTGACTACAAGTCACACTTGATATGGAAGATGATGATAAAATTTTGAAAAATAAAAGACTAAAATCTTTTAGAAAAAGCAAAAGTATAAAAACAATGTATTCAAAACTGAAATATGTCATATATATTATCATCCCAATTTTTTGCATTCCATCTAAAGTGCCTCCAAGCCTGCTCTCATCTTACTCATAGCGATAAATGCAGCCAAATTATTTTTCACAAAGCATTCCATGCTTTGAAAGACACCGCCAGACTGTCAACTTCCAAGCCTTGCTGTCACTTCTAAGCTACCTCGTTCTGCACCTCTTTTCCCTATCATTCCCTATCATTTTCTTTCTCATTCTTTCACAAATATAAGTCAAATCCCACACAACCCAAATGAAATGCATCTAATTGGTAAAGCATTCTTTTTTTGCGTATAAATTATTAAGTTACCTGGTCTCTTTTTCTCATTAGTATTTCCTATGATTACACAAACCACCACATCCTTACAGGTGGTCAAATTTATCTAAATCTACCATGAAGTACTTTGTGTAGACCAAATATGTTAAAATGTCTACTGATTTTGAGGATGATAATAAGATCACTGAATCAATCTTAAACTGCATTCTGTACAAAAGCACCTATAAGACTGATTTTGAAAAGTGTCTCATTGTAGGAAGCAGGACAGAGAAAACATATATACATGTTAAATGCCTAAGTGGGGAGGCAGAGCCAACATGGCGCTATAGACAGAAGCATCATGTCATCCCTCCGCAGCAAAGACATGAAAAACTAAGTAAAACAGAGACAAACATCAATCCTGGAACTCTAAGCATCAAATAAAGAGAGAAAGAACTCAACCAAGCACCAAATGGAATAAGAAACTGACAGAGAATAGAGTGAGAAGAGTTACAAGTGGAGGTCCCCTATCAGCTAACGCAGCACGGATCCACCATCCTGGACTCCTGTCGGAGATGGGCAGACAGGGAGTATGGGAAAGCAGATTCATGGAGCTCCCAGAAGAAGACAGAGCACCTGGTAACCAGAAAGACATGTTTTCCCACCCAGTACCCTACCTCCCTGCAACTCAAGCTTCACCACTTCCCAGCTGGCCAATCCGCGGCGTCCCGGTGAGTCAATTCCCAGCTTCCTGGAAGGCCAATTCACTGCTTCCTGGCAGACCGATTCACTGCTTCCTGGAAGGCCAATTCACTGCTTCTTGGCGGGCGGATTCCCGGCTTGCGAGAGGGAGAATTTGCTGCTCCCTGCTAGGGTGATCTGCCATTTTCCAGCGGGCCGCGACCATGGCAGAGGCACTGGTTCCATGCTGCATGGATTCGCACTGCCCACACCGGCCGGCTTCTTCACTGCCATTTCTTTGTTGCTTTTTTCAGCCTCTTTTGGATTTTTCCCTGCCTCTCACCTCCTCCCCCTCCCTTCTCTCAATCATCTGACTCCGTGTGCCACCTTTGCTTCTTGACAGGCTGTGAAGCGCTGCTCAGCTGGGTAACTGCTTCCCCAGTCGCTTCCCTGGTCTGCGCAATCATGCTGGTGGGATCCCTGGGAGCTTTTTTCTTTTGTTTGTTCTCTTTCCTTTTTATCTTTCTTCATTTCTCAGTTTCTCATCTCTTTCTACTTACCTTCTTTTCCTGTCTCCTGAATACCTGCTGCTGTGTATCTTCTCCACCCCTTCTAGCCAGAATCTACTGCACAGCTTGGGAGTCACTTCCTTGGTCTGCCCAGCCGCGCTGGTGGGATCCCTGGGGGATTTTTGTTTCCTTCTTGTTTTTCTCCATTTCTTGGTTTCTTGTCTCTCCACTCCAACGACAAGCTCCCTTAGTGTGGGGATATATGCCATTTAAACATGGCTGCACTATTGACAACTGCAGCCCCCACAGGCCTCTATGCTGTATACGACATGTTGGAGACTTGTCAGCGATAAGAAAGAGATTAGGCACGACTTGTTTTCCCAAACCTATTGTCCTGTTACTGATTGGCTTGTTTACGTGAATTCCTTCTCCCTTGCCCGAAACTTATTGTTACTCACCCAAAGCCCATTGTTCTGTTATTTGCTTCACTGCTTGCTGTATTGACTATAAATAAACTCCTGGGACTGAAGCCGAGGTTGACTCCTAAGAGTGAGCCTCCTGGCCCCACTTCTCTATAAGAGTTGTGTTTGGCTACTGTCTTCGCTGTCCCGACAACCGTCAATGCTGCGACACCTTAGCTTTTTTTTTTTTTGCTCCTATTTCTCTCTCCTCTCTCTCTTTTCCATACCCAACCTAGCTCCACACATCACAACCTTCCCCTCCCCCTCTCTCCTGCCTATCTGCACCGTGTGCTGAATATTGCACTCCCGAGCAGCACAGGCATGATCTACTGGAACTTGCCCTGCAATGACCACCGCCCAATCTTGTTGGCCCAAATACATGCCACAAACAACTCATCCCAGCCCCTCCCCTTCAGCTAGACCTGCCCTGCAGCACTAGAGCCGAATGAATGGTCCTGCCCACTGGACAAGGAGGTGAAAAATATTGTGTCCACAGATGAGCAAACAACAAAGAACGCACAGCCCGCCTGCTCAGACATAAACAAATAAAACAAAAAGCACGATGGAACAAACAGATCTACAACCTACAAACAAAGAAAATAACTACTGAATCTTCTGAAGACAGCAGACAATAACAACAAATATAAAAGAACAGGACAGGATGGTTCCAGTAGGCATCCAAAATAAAACACCAGATGACTTTCCAGTAGAAGAAAAGGCACTAGAACTACCTGTAGAGAATTCAAATATCTAATATCCAGAGCTATCCAAGAGTAGAAGCAAAAAGCAGACAAAAATGAGGAAAAAAGGCAAATTCATGGAAAAGGCAGACAAATTCATTGAAAATACAGACAAAAAATGGAAGAATTCAGGAAAATAATACAGGAACAAAAAGCCAAAATAAATTCACAACTAGAAATCATAAAAAAAAAATTAGAAATCCAAAAGATAAACAACAAGATTTCAGAAATGGATAGTGTCATAGGAGGGCTGAGGAACAGGTTTGAAACAATGGAAGACAGGATTAGCAAAACTGAAGACAAACATTTGGATAGAACTTTGAGGAAAAAATCAGAAAAAAGAACAAAGAAAAATGAAGAAACCCTGAGAATGACGTGGGATACAATCAAAAGCAAACATTAGTGAGTGGCTGGAGTTCCAGAACAGGG